AGGGTTTAATAACTTTTTGCATCACTAAGTGTTCATGCTCAGACTCCTGCCACTATTATCTCAGGGGTGCAGGACAAAGTTTCATCCCCAGCAGGGATTTCGCAGCTGCGAGAGATAAGAGAAGTGAATATTATCTGGTTTGTAAAAGTCACCCCAAAACACTTCAGGAACAGAGCAAAACGCTTGCAGAGCTGTTAGCTGTCCTCTCAAGACCGTGGGAGAGCTGGAGGTTGGATCCCTCCAGGGGCTCCGGGCGCTCAGCATAGCCCCAGCACAGAGCCGGGAGTGGCGCAGCCCCTGCGGGGCCGGGGGGACCCAGAGCCATGGGAGCCACTATTCCCAGCTCTGCTCTGGTGAGAGAAGGCTCCAGAGTGGATCTGCTTTGATGCCAGGGATGCTTCGGTGACCACTCACGTGCAAAATGGGGACATGAAATGAGACTTGGCCTCCAGGTCCCTGTATTAATTTCTGGCTGCCAAAATTGCACGTGTGAGATGCATTTGGGCACCAGGCTGAGGAAGTAGCTTGAGCTCCGAGCACAGCAGATGCCACTTTGAAGGAGATGCCTTCAGGGATGTGCTGGGTTGTGTTTGTCCTGGGATGAAGGACATGGCTCAGCCAAGGCTGTTTCATTTTCATTCAGTGCGAACCCCATGTCTCTGTGGATGGCATCATTCAAAGGGATCAGAAACCACCTCGTCTCCAGGTTTAAACGTCTTTAATTCAGGGAAAGGTCAAGTTCAGTTCTGGAGGCAGTAGATACTGGCCCAGAGCTCCAGACCTGAGCTCTAGAGGTAGCTGGGATGAGCATCCTCCCCCTGACCAGGAGATGAGCATCTCTCACTGCCCAAGGAGGCTCAGCCCTGGTGCCCAGGCAGGGCTCTGCTGCCTTCAGCACTGCTGTGACTTCTCCAAAGTATTCCCTGTGCTAAAATACCTTGTGTGCATTTGCTGCCTTCCACCAGCACCAGACCCAGTGATCCCAAGTTTTTACATGGGGAGTTGACAGGGTCAAAAACTCATCTGGCAGCTGGAAGTCCCAGAATTAAAACATCAGGTGCAAGGTTCTTGTGCTCATGTTGCCCAGAGGGTGAGCAGCAGCCAGTACCCGAGAGAGAGACACACAGAGATCCTGTGGCCAGGTTGGATTAAGGGAGAAAGTCATTTCCCTTTCGAGCTAATTGCAGAGGAGCTGCCTCTGTCTATCTAGGTCAAGCCGTAACCTGCTTTAGCTGGGCAAAGCGGCGGCAGGACGCCAGTGTGACACAGCGTGACATGGCGTTCACCTGCTCCCCTGCCACTGCAGCACGTGGGGCACAAGCCAGGGGGGATCTGCTCCCTGAGGGCAGAGTTTGGGTGAGGTAAAAATCAATCTGGAGGCAAATGAAGAATTTGGAAGAAGAATGGGCTGAATCTCTCCCAGGAATGGTTCTAGTTTGTGCTCGTTACTAAAATGATGGGATGAGTAGGAGGGCTGCTTGGCACAGGAGCAGCTCCTGCTGAGGCTGATGGGGGAAACAGGGACTTGGTGGAAATTGCTCTGGTTTATCCCTTTAATGACATCTCTGGGTGCAGGACCCCAGCCCGAGGCTTTGGCTGGTGTTACAGCCTGGGGGAGCAGGGCCGCACACATCTCCCCTTACCCAGCCCCAGGGAAGCCCCCACGTCACCCAGGAGGAGGGGTCACCCATGCCGGGTGCAGCGAAGCAATGGGTGTCCTCTGAGACTCCCAAGGCGTGTGCTGCGGGGAGGGGACGGCTCAGAGCCTGGCTCACAGTAGGTGTTGGCATCTCCTGGAAAACCTCAGCCCTGCAAGCACAAGAGGAGGATTGATTTTCTTGTGGCCAACGTGGCAGCTTTGGCTTCTGCTGCAGCCGTGGCATTGCAGCGAAGTGGCTGCTGGTGGGCTCAGAGAGAAGAAATGGAAGTTGTGTCCATGAGAAGGAAGTCCAAAGCGAATAAACTGAGAAAAAAAAATCTATAAAACCTGGTTACAGCCCCAATGCCATGTGTCTGGTGATCAGTCAGGACCAGAGGGGTGTTGCATGCTGGCAACTCTCAGAAGGTGATAGCGAAGGTAAGGTCGTAGCATAAACCCAGATGATTTCTTTCTTGCCTCTGAGTTAGTTAAGAGGAGCTCAAGACCAGCTTTATGGAGGCAGTGGCAGATGATCTCCCTCCGTGTTAGGGGAAAACCTGCCAGCAGCAGCCCCTGGAGCTCAAGATGCTCGTGCAAGGGACCTCAAGGGTGAAATTGGTGAGTTGTGGCTGGTGGTTTAACCACTCGTGTCTGCAAGGCCAGAGGTTCGCTGGCTCATGGCCCCACCCTGGGCATCTTTGCACTTATGGGGAGGAAGGTCGACCCCCATCAGTATTTGCACAAGGTGTTTTGCAGCTCAAGGCCATGAACAGCTCTGGCCCCAGACACAGCGCTCCTGGGGCAAGGGGCTGAGTTCAAGAGTGAAAAAAGTTCAGAATTGGGGTTTGTAAGTGTGAGTTGTGGGGCACAACCTGGAAAAAGGCTGAAGGGTTGAGGGGAGCTGGTTGCTGCTGCTATTTGCTGCAGGTTGGGCTGCAAAGCGGCGTTGGGAGCATTGTGCCCATGGGGATGTGCTGGTCTCCACCTCCTGGCTGGTGCTGGGTGCTGAGCCCTCACCACCGTGCTCCCAGGAGCAACCCTTGTGGGTGCAAGGAAATCCCACGGGTGCAGGGAAAGCCCTGCAGGCCCCTGCCTGGCTCCTGCCGCCTGCCCTCAGCACCCTTGGGTGCAGACTGGTGCCAGCACAGGGCCCTCACGGGCGCCTGGGGTTGCCCACCGGGGCCAGATCCAGACCTATTTGCCAGCGCGGGGGTGGCAGAGACCCAGCGCCCATCTCCATTTCACCCCACGCAGCGGCGTGGGGACGGATCAGTCCCAGACACCCCCAAATGCCTTGTCCTGGGGCTTCCTCCTTCTACCGGTGCCATGACTCGGGGCCACGGCCTTGGAGAGGGGAGGCAGAGACGTCTGATCCAGGATGTAGGGAGAGAGAAAACCTCTCCAGCCATTTCAGAGGCTTCAGCAAGAGCAAGCCCAGAGCTGTGTGTGTTGGTTCCCTTCTGCCCTTAATTAAAATTGCCTTGAAAAGACCTCTGTAGCTCCTGACTGGCACTGGAGTTGGTGCTGTGATGCTGAGATCTTGCCACTGCATCAGCCCTTTTCCCCGTGACCTGCAGCTCTGTTGATCAAGTGATCCAGCTCATGTGGGTCTGGCAGAAGGGAATTTGGTTGTGTTTACTTGAGCACTGCCTGTGGCAGGGATGTGGCCACCCCTGGGGACTCGCTGTGGGGGATGTTGGGCAAGGCTGGGTCCTTACAGCTGCCCCAAAAGCCTGAGGGGAGCAGGGCCCAGGGCAGCTGTAGGTTGGGGAAGAGGCAAAATCGGGCCGTTTGGGGCATTTTTGGATCTTGCTTATGCAACACCCTCCGCCAGGAGATGCAGTGGGTGGTGGGTGCCATCCCCCTTCACCCCACAGCTTGCCAAGAAACCTCCTCCAGCTCCGGAGAAGCTCTGTCTCAGCCGGGTGGTTTGAAAGGCAGCCAGGATGCTGGTCCCGGGCTGCAAACAGAGCAGCTTGTGTGCGGCCCCATACCTGGGTGGCAGCATCCCCCCAGCCTGCTGGGAACGGCTGCGTTCGGCTCCAGAGCAGCCCCGAAGCGCTCGCTGGGGCGGCTGCACAAAGCCCCACTTGTGCTCGCTGCACCCACCCGGCCTGAAGCCAGCGCCGGGGAGAGAAACCCCCCTGGGGGTGATGGGGACTGCAGGGGGCTGACCTGGATGCTACAGAACCCCAAAAAGCTTCTGCTCCTCTCCCCAGAGGTTTTTCTTCAAGGAGGCTGAGCGGAACCGTGCTGGAGTGACCTGCAAAATGTGTGTCCTGGGAGATTTGTGGCACCTGGTGTCTGTTTGCCTTTTGGTTCACTGCAGCTGTACCAGAGCGAGGGAGCAGAGGTTGGCACAGGTGCCCATGGAGCCACATCTCCTCATCTTTCTGGAGACCACTCCATCCCCTGGAGACAACTTTTGAGTTTTGAAAGTTTTTTTCCCAGAGGGTTGCAGCTGGGAGGTGGTTGGAGATGGAGCTTTGCTCCATTGTTGATTCTCTTGCTGAGCTCTGCTCTGCCTGCAGGAGGGATGAACTTCTCCACTCACTGTGACCATGCTGATGTCCCTGTCACCAGTGGCAGCAAAGATGGCCTTGAGTGCCTGTGGGTGCTTTGGGTGGCATGGGGTGGTACAGTGAGTCCTCATCCTCATCTGCATGGAGCAAAATGCCAAGGCGAGGGGATGTGGGGCACTATCTGGGTGGTGGTGCCAGGGAGAGTCACTGTGGGGCAAGATGAGAGCAGGAGCATGGTGAGAAGGGGTTGTTGGCATCACACAGGGCAACGCTGGGGATGGGGGAGCAGAGATGGGTCTCAGACATCAGTAATGGCCTGAGGAGCGGGGTGACAGAGCGGTCCTCATGTCACTGGGAGGTGGTCTTGGGTGATCAGGAGATGGATGACTAGGAGATGATCTTAGGTGGCCAAGAGACTGGTGTCTGGGAGATGGTCTTGGGTGGCCAGGAGATGGTCTCAGTTGACCAGGAGGTGGTTTTGGCAACTATGAGGTTTTGGGTGGCCAAGAGGGGCCCGTCTTGCCTGTGGTGAGGCCTGTGTGGCCTTGCTGCAGGAACCTGCCCGAGGGAACTGGGGGGCTGGGGCTACACAGGGTCCTTGGGGGAGGACCTCACTGTCATGTGTGCCCTGGCCCTCTGGATCCCTGTTGGGGACAACACGTGACCCCTCACACTGGGGTGTGGGATGCAGTGGCCTCCACCTGGAATGGGCACATTGAGCACCTATGGTCAGTGGGGGCCAAGCCCAAGGTCTGGTGTGGTTGAGGGGATGTGGGTGACCCCCCACGCCCACCCCCTCGCCATGCCAGGCACTGCTCAAACCTCCTCTCTCCCCACAGCCTTGCTGGCAGCCGCCTCATCAGGATGAACGGGATGGCCAACATCAACCCTGCCGGCCGCAGCCACTACGCCTCCGCCATCCCGGTGCCCCGTGCCATGGCTCATGGCAAGCTGCATGCTGTGGCCCCCCCAAGCACGCTGGAGACCCCTGTCCCCCATGGGGCTCTGTCCCCCCGGTCAGGGAAGGCTCTAGCTCCCAGCCCCAAGACCCTCAAGCCCAAAGACGCTGCCAGAGCCACTGGCCATGAGCTGGCCAAGGGCAGGGAGGGCAGCCCCAGCATCTCCCTCCGTGGGGGGCAGAAAGCCCCAGCGAGACCCTTGGTGTCCCCCGGGAAGTGGCCAGAGGCAGTGGGCAGTGGGAGGAGAGGGGCAGGCAGGGTGGGGGAGCCCACTGAGCTGCCCAAAGCCCCCACTGTGCAGAGCAGGGGTGGGGGGCGACCAGGTGGGTCCCCTGGGAAGGGCAGTGGGGTGGCCATGGAGGGGATGGAGGATGAGCCCCATGGCAGCTCGCAGGGCAGGGGGCCTGTGTTTGGGTCAGGGGCCATCACCTTCTCCTCAGGTCCCCCCCACAGCCATCCCATCACCGCCACCGTGGCACCCTTCCAGTACCGGTGAGTCCCTGGGGACTGGGGGCATGGGGCTTGGGGGGGACATGGGGATAGGGGGACATGGTGACAGGGGAGCATGGGGAGAGGGGGAGGCAGGCAGGCACAGCAGGGGTGGCCATGGGGAATGGTGGGGTTGGGTCTAGGGGCTCTGCCCCTAAAGGAGGGTTCCCATTGGGTTTGAGGTGCTGAGGGCTCCTGGGGCACCCATGGGAGCTGGTGTAGGGCAGGGGGTGGTCTCAGTGGGGAGTGGGGTGCCCTTGGACCCTCCCTGCCGTGGGACCATTGTCCCCAAACCCTGGCAGAGCTCAAGGCACCATTTTTCCATCTTTTGGGGGTCCTCAGGTGGCTGCACCCTGCGACACACCCCTGCTCCCCCACCCTCACCCCGCTCTGCCCTCAGGCTGCAGGAGGACTGGGAGGAGAAGAGGGCCACAGCCCTGGGTGACGAGTGCCCTGGTCCTGCGGAGGAACCTGACCCCGACCCCAAAGCCGGAGGCCTGAGTGAGTTGGGGGGGGCTGCTGGGGATGAGGGGGTCCTGCTGGGGGGCTGCCGGGACGGTGCCAGAGGGCAGAGGCTCATGCCGGAGCTCAGACTTATGTGGCCCCGTGCCAGAACGGGAGCCGGGGATGGAGGTCGGTGGGGCGGCTGGGGTAACCCCATGCGGGAGGTGCCCTGACTCCCCTGGGAACAGTAGGGCTGCAGCTGCCGCATGCGGCGACCCCCATGGCCAAAACCCTGCACCCAGCAGCGTGGCCTGACCTGGGCATCAGCATCCCCCGCAGCGGCTCTGGCACGGGGAACCGTCCCCTCCAGTGACACCGCCGGGACATCACCCGTTTGGCTCCGTCCCAGCCAGCTCCAGGAATGACCCATTTCCAAGAAGTCGGCAGAGATCTGGTGCGGAGGCGGATGCTACGGCACCACTGGCTCCCCGCACCCACCGCGGGTACCCCCCCTTTCCCGGGGGCTGAATGAGCCCAAATTCAAGCTCCCTGCTGCAATATTGGGGACACCCCAGTCCCTTCTGGCATTTGCTCTGGGGGGGTGGCTGCTGGAGGAGATGCTGGGGTGGCGGTTGCCAGGGCAGCGGCAGCGGAGGATGGTGGGATGCTCCAGGGATATTCAGGGAAGGGGAAAAAAAAAAAAAAAGAGCTGGGAGCTTCATCGAGTGATTTGAAGGGACAGAAGTCGGTCAGAGCCGTGGTGGCTCACAGCACAGCCCAGCTTTGCAGTGGGGCTCCAGCACTGCCACCCTGCAGCCAGAGGGGTAACGGGGTTCAGCGCTGAGCCCCATTTTGGGAAGCACTGAAACCAGTGGTGAGCGGGAAGATTTTCTGGGAGGTTTTGGGATGAGGCTGAGCTGGTTCGGTACCGGGGAAAGGGCCAGATCCTTTTTCTTGCTCCACGCCTCCACCCCGACCCGTGGCACCGTGTGGGGCTCTGTTGGGCCCTGCCAAAGGGGACAGGGGACTTTGGGAGGCCCCAGGAGTCGCCTTGACAGCCCCAAAATGACATGACTCCTCCAGATTTACCCCCCAGCGTGCCCTGCATCCAGGCAATAGCCTCGTAGCTCAATAAGGGCTGTAAAAGTCCCCGAACTCAGAGCGGCTCTGGGATGCAGCAGGGTGGCTTGGGCACCTTTTATTTTTTTGGCCACCCTTTGCTCTCCCATCCAGGTCGGGTTATTTTGGGGCTTCTCAGCATCACCGTGGGCTGCACCCTGAATGGCCCGGGGAGGCCATGCTGCGGTACGGGGGGCCGGGATGGGGGGCTTGTGCCGCCCCCGGCCCTCCTGGCTCCTTATCGCGGCAGCATAGTGATGGGCTCTAATGCAATATTTTCCGGCGGTTGCCATGGCAGCCTGCGTGAGGTCACCAAATAGACTTAATTCACCCCTCCCGAGGGACGGGTAATTAATGAAAAATGATGATAACCAGATCCCACTCCCCCTCTTCCCTCCCCCCTCCCCTTAATTCCCCCAGATCACTGGAGAGGCCCCGCTGGGTTTGAGGGCCACAATGTCCCTCGGGGGGCTCCTGGGGCCACCCTGGGCTCTTCCTGCACTGTTTGCGCTGAAGCGGGGAAGTTTTGGCCCCCCGGCGGACGGGTGTGCAGTGCCGGGTGTGGGGGCCGTGGCAGGCGGGACAGGGCCGCTCCACACGCAGGGTTCGGGCCGTGACCCCCGCTGGCTTCACCCACCCGCCCGGCTGCCTGCC